GGATTTTCAATTATGAACGGTAAAATCAAGTCTTTCTACTGTTTTAATGTTTATGCATTTTGAATGTGGGGATATGGGAGTTAAGCATTTTGCGCTATCGGCGGAATGCAAAATTTGACCGTGTAATGTTCTGCGGAGGGAACACTGCAATAAACATACTATAAGATATCCTTTAGAGTTTTTGCATCCGTGCTCTAGAGCGATGTGATAGACAGTTGTGGAGATTGGCTTGCCGTTAGAAGACAGAAGAGGAGAATCCTGTATGATGGACCAGATGGATTACGGTAGACCAACTGCGAATGTGAAGAACATTGAAGAACAATGTCTTAACTGTTTTTGCAGTTGTGAGCCGAGAAGGGGCAGAGGATTGAGCTTAATATATTGGTCAAAATATCCTGCCAACGAAAGGTCTCGTCTTTATTCATAACCTCTTCTATTTACATATAAAGGACAACAATTCAGCTATTTGTCCTGTACTTAATCTTATACTGTACATTTCGATGTTCCCTTACTTGTGCTTCGGCAGAAACAACTTTCAAGTGACTTATAGAGACTTCTTGCAAAAGAGGAGGTGTCATGAAAAGTGGCCTTAAGACATGGCCGCAGCTGGAATATACGCCACTTGGACCGCAAATTATTCGGTTTTTCAGAACTGTCTAGCTTCTACATGTCAAATGTTTGTGAGGGTTCAATCAAAGAAATCAATGAAAATCTTTTTTTTTTGAATTTTTGACCTTCCAACTTCACTCAGCATCTGCAGGCTAAAGACTCGTTCAAAGGTGCTCTTGTACTCTTTGTAATACCTAGCAGGGTGCTGAGAAACATTGCTTATAATATCTATTATTGTCATCTTACCAGACCTTCATGACAGTTTATCAAAGAAATTACCCAAATACGTATTAGTAAACTCAGTGCCAACTCTCTTATGTGATATAACAGGTTATGGCTGTTCCGTAAAATGTTAGGGTGAATGACCTTTAAGGTTTAAGGCAAAGTTTTATGCCATGTCTTATAAAGCAAAATTAGGAAAATTTGGAAAAAAACAGAATTTTCTAACCATCCTGTGGGAATGAATTTTCTCACTTTCATAAAGGAGTTTTTTTCAAATACTATGTAACTCAATAAACTCTCATCCGACGGATGAAATTTTGCGCGATTTATCTTTACCTATGCTAGGCCAGTTTTAGAATTTCGCCTGCGTTTTCGAGAAATTCCACAACAACATGAGAATTTTATGTATTCGATGTTTTAAATCCTTTTGGT